TTGGGAACCAGGAAAGAGGGGCAAGCTCTGTGGCCTCCCGTGGACCAGGTGCCTCCCATGGACTGGGCGCTCCTCGTGGAGTTGGAGTTCCCAGGAGAGACTCCTACGGGGAAGCACGTCCTCAACCCTCTGGGCTGGGCCCCTGGCCTGCCGGGGTCACAGGCTGGAGAGGCCAGATGCAGGGGCCAGGAAGCACGGAAGCAGCTCTTAGGCCAAGAGCCAAGGGACCCCCATCCCTTCCATTCATCAGCCATCAGGGCCCAGTGGCAGTGCACCTGCCTTCCTCACTGCCCCCCTCAGGGCTGACAGGCCAAGATCCACACCACGGTCTCCTTCCCGTCGCGGTGGGCCCCCCAGGTGAGGGTCTCCATAGGGCAGTGAGGGAAAAGCTGGAGCGGATCACCTCACGGGGCGGAATGGCTGCTGGTGCCGCCTGGTCAGAGGCCAGGATCGGTATTCGCTGAATACACAACACAGAGGGACCAATGAACATCCGGATAAAAGCGTGGAGCCGCCGGTGTGGCGGAAGAGCCTGCAGAGAAGCTCCCTCAAAGACTCACAGGCGACACAGCCACAACTGTGGAACGCAACTGGGGCAAAGCTCTTGGCTTAGGAACGCCCCCTTGGATTGAGCCGGCGCTGCTGGAGATCTAGCCTGTAAGGGAAGCACCTAGGAGCTCGGGTCCTTGGACAAAGGTGCGATGCAGCCTGTCCGCGGCACGGAGAGACCTGGAGCCCTGTGCCCGGCAGCAGAAGTGGACACAGTGGTGCCGGCGCAGGAACTCCCGGGGGAGGCGGGGCGTTCGCAGGTCTGTGCCCGAGTCTGCAGCGAGCTTGGCAGGCACCTCCGGGAAGAGCAGGCCTGTCGCAGAGCCGTGTGCACACCAGGTCTGTTTCTGTGCGAGTGAGTGACAGTCGACCCTGGATAAGACTCTACGCACGTACACATTTGTCGCAGATAGAGAGGGTGTGACAGGACGGACTCTGGACATCCAGGAGGGAATGTAGGAGCAACGGCTAATCGTCTTGTGTCCCTGTGTCACTGGCTGCGATGAGAATGCTGCATTTTGAATAACAAAAATAAGCACTCACCTTCTATCAGAAACTGGCTACTGCAGTGAGGGAAAGGACCCTGCTCTAGAGTTTTCAAAGCTGGGGTGAGCCCGGGCCCTGAACACCCTTCACACTGTGTTTACGGGGCTCAGAGGACAATCTACCATTCCTGCATGGAGTCTGCAGACATGGTGCAGACTGCCCGGAAGAATTCAGCCCACATCACGCAGGCCAGCAGGACTTTCCTTTGAGCACAGCAGTGCCATCGGAGCTCACCGCAGCCCTGTACCCCCAGCCTCAAGCAATCCTCCCTCTTCAGCCACCGAAGTGGCTGGAACCGTGGGCTCGACCCACCATGCCTAGCACCTGCAGGGCTCTGGACCCCTCACCCAGACTTTACCTTGATGTGGGGAGCTCCCCCCCCCACCGACAGTGCAGGTGATGTCAAGGATTCTGGAAGGACCCTGGCTCATTCCCAAGCTGGGAGCACACCTGGGCGGAGCTGAATGCCAGCGTGGGGGTCCAGAGGCTCCAGGGGTGGTGCTTGCAGGCAGGGAGGATGGTGAGCTTTCCACACACACAGCAGTCACCCAGGGGTGTGTTGGGGGTACCCTGGGAAGGGCTGCTCAATGGTGTCCTCCATCCTAGGCAGGAGAGAGGCTGGAGCACAGGCCCTGCGGGGAGGCAGGACCGAGAGAGAAGGCAGTGCGCACCACTCTCCTCCAACCCCACCGTCCTTGAGGGCGCCGAGTGATTAATTCTCTGCGACTCCAGATGTTCAGCAGCTGTCTTGGCCATTTCCGCCCCTTTCCTGACCCTGCATCCTCCAGGAAGCATCCCCTCCTGTCCTTGGGCTCCAGGCCACCCCCACCTTCCCTGCACCCCATTTCCTGAGCAGAGGCGTTTGTGCAGACTCAGCTCCTGCACCCACCAGGGTAGCTTCAGTTTTCCCAAGGCCTGGGCACTCCTCCCTGAGTCTCGGGCTGCTGCGGTGGGCTGACTGCCTGATGGATGCCCTCTGCCTGGGGCTCTGATCCTGGCTCCTGCCCCTCCGGCCTCTGGGACTGGTTTTCTCTCTCTCCTCTCCTTTCTTCTTCAAGGTTGGCTCTGCAGGCTCCTGCGGCATAAATCAAGGGCCTCCAGGGAGGCCCAGCAGAACTGGCCAGGGAGAGAGCCCTGCCCCAGTGTGGGAGGTTGCGAGCCAAGGGGTGGAGGGCTCAGAGACGAGCAGGCCCTGTGGGGGTGGGGTTCACACCAGATGTCTGCCAGGAGGGCACTGGGGTGCCAAGGGGAGGGGTTGCCTCCACAAACTGATCAGCAGGGACACTTCCCTGAGCTGATGGGGGTGGGAGCGCAAGAGGTCATGGCTGCTGCAGCTGGTCCAGTCTGGGGGCTCTTCTGGAGAGGGGACAGTTCCCTTCCTGTCACATGCTTTCCTGTCTCAACAGAGCTGGGGGTTCTGGGGCACTTGGGCTCCCGTGGTCTGGCGGGGTCAGGGACTGGGCCAGACACAGGATAAGGCATGGAACCCCTGGGGGCCAGTGGCTCCAGCTCGCTGACCTCTGCCCCTCAGAATCCGGTCCCAGGCTCTCCCCTCCTCCTCTCGAGAACTTCCTGCTCTGTGTGTGTACGTATGTGTGTGTGTGTGTGTGTGTGTGTGTTGTTGTGGAAGAAGCTAAGGGCAGGTGGGCCTGGCTAAAGAAAAGCCTCCATTTCCAAACAAGTCCCAGAGCAGATCAAGCTGGGAGACTCCCCAGGAGGATGAGGCTTCTCTAAGCAGAATCTGTTCAGGGGAATCAAAATAAGCTTAGTGCATCCGACATCCTGTGTGGAGGGCCCTCCAGGACCCCTGGCTGACACCAGGATCTGAATGGGGAGGCAGGGACCCCCATCAGGGCCTCGGCTCTGTTGCTGGGTTCACTCCTGTGGTCTCACACAAAATGGGACGGGAGCCTTTGGGCCCACAGCCCCTACCTGCCTAGGGCAGGCAGCCGCTGAGTTTATGAAAGAGGCTCCTGGAAAAAGGAATCGTCTCCTACCCTTTGCAGAAGTTCCCATCTCCACCCCTAGCCACAGGAGGCTCCTTTCCCCTCAGGGCCAAGGGTGGACACTTGAGCAGGACTAGAACCACCGATCCCACAGGAAGCCCTCTTTCCTGGGACAGGACTCCTGTCTCTGCCCAGGACCCAGTGGAAAGGATGGTGTGACAGGTGCACCAGTGGACCCCAAGACACCCTCTTTCTCCTCAGAGCCTGACCAACGAGCACAGCAGTCAATCTGAGCTCAAAGATGGATAACCAGGAAAATCTGGATCTCAGCTGTGTGTGCGCCTGGGGATAGGACTGCCGGATTTAGCAAAACAAAAACAAACTTAAAACAGAATACCCAGGGTGCGATGGCTCACGCCGGTAATCCCAGCTACTCAGGAGGCTAGGTCAGGAGAACTGCTTGAACCAGGAAGGAAGAAGTTAGAGTGAGCCGAGATCGCACCACTGCACTCCAGCCTGGGCGACAAGCGTGAGACTCCATCTTAAAAACAAACAAACAAAACCCAGGATATCCAGTTAAATTGGAATTTTAGATAAACAATTTTAAAACAGGAGTATGTCTAAAGCAATATTTTGAACATACTTATACCCAAAAAGTATTTATCTGTAATTCCAATTTTTTTTTTTTTTTTTTTTTTTTTTTTTTTTTTTTGAGACGGAGTTTCGCTCTTGTTACCCAGGCTGGAGTGCAATGGCGCGATCTCGGCTCACCGCAACCTCCGCCTCCTGGGTTCAGGCAATTCTCCTGCCTCAGCCTCCTGAGTAGCTTGGATTACAGGCATATGCCACCATGCCCAGCTACTTTTTTTTTTTTTTTTGTATTTTTAGTAGAGACGGGGTTTCACCATGTTGACCAGGATGGTCTCGATCTCTTGACCTTGTGATCCACCCGCCTCGGCCTCCCAAAGTGCTGGGATTACAGGCTTGAGCCACCGCGCCCGGCCCATTATTCTGTATTTTATCTGGCAACTGGAATGAGGGTAATAGCCCCCAAATCACTGCTTTATCAATTCGTCCCTGTCCTTCTGTTCTCCAACCCCCTAAAGACGGCAGCAGTCCTCAGCTGACTCCCCAAGCTGGGGGCAGGGGGGCTGTTTGGGTCAGGTAGTGCCTCTAACCCAGAGCAGGAGTGCAGAGAGAGGGTGCTTCAGCCTGGAACTTTCCCAGAAAGCTGCGATCAGGAAGACATGGCACCTGGCTCAGAGGCTCTGGCTGGATTTGCAAAACTCCCTGATGGTAGCCTTTCTGTTTCTGGTCTGGGGAGCTGTCGAGTCCCTTGAGCCACCCCCTCCCTGGGGCTCCCCCTGGTGGGCAGCCTCTGACCCTGCCCTCAGGTGGGCTGGCCCTTTCCAGGGCAGTGGAAAAAGGGGAACCCACCAGACCCCTCCATAAAAGGAGGTACAGCCTGGGAGTTGCACTCAACCAGGGACTGAGAAAGAGGAACCCCAGCTGGGCAGGACCTGTCCGAGAAGGTCACTGCTGCTCCTGGCAGCCAGTGAAAAGAGGATCCAGAAAAGAAGGGGCTTGTTTCTGGTCTGCACCGGAGAAGGAAGGTGTACCAGGCAGGGGCCAGCAGGCCAAGAGCAAACGCTGCCTTTCTGGTGCGGCAGCAACTCCCCTGGGGAGATCAGATGCAGACCAGCGGACCCTGAAGGGGCAAGGGAGGGAACCCACTGTGAGGCTAGCACAGGCGGGGGAAGCCTTGCCTTCCTCCTAGTGAGACCCTGGCCCTGGCCGGGAGAAGTCAAGGCTGCCCTTTTCTGGCCTGTGAGGTTGCCCATCTCCGGTTTAAGGAAGAGGGAGGCTGGGCACAGGGATTCACATCTGTATTCCCAGCACTGTGGGAGGCAGAGGCCAGAGGATGGCTTGAGCCCAGGAGTTCAAGACCAGCCTGGGCAGCACAGCGAGACTCCATTTCAATTTAATAAATAAATAAGGAAGAGGGCGGCAGTTGCTGCTCAAAGCACGGGCGAGAAGGCTGGGCCTGGAAGTGTTTCCCTGGTGGGGTCCCGGCCAAGGGGGGACAGGCAGAACCCTGGGTCCACCATCTCCGGGAACCCTTTGTGTGCTCATCACCTAGCAACAGGATGCAGCCTCCCCTGGCCCTGGAAGGCCAGCCAGGTGCCAGCATGCCCTAAGACGGCGGGTGCCCCTCGCGGAGGGGAGTGACCGCGGCCACCGCCCATGTGCATCGTCTGCTTCGTGAAGGCGCTGGTGCACGTATTCAAGATCTACCTGACCGCCAGCTACACCTACACCTTCCGCGGCTGCCCGGTGGACTTCCGCTGGGATGACAGGCGCGCGGCTGGCCGTAGCAGCAGCCACCGGGCGCTGACCTGTGCGGGCGCCGCTGCGGGCGTGTGGCTGCTGCGGGACGCGGCGCTGGGCGGGGAGGCACCGGGGCGGCCTCCGCGCGGAGCGCGCAGCCAGGCGCAGTGCCTCCTGCAGCAGCTCCGCGAGCTGCCCGGCCAGCTCGCCAGCTACGCGCTGGCCCACTCGCTGGGCCGCTGGCTCGTGTACCCCGGCTCCGTGTCCCTGATGACGCGCGCGCTGCTGCCGCTGCTGCAGCAGGGCCAGGAGCGCCTCGTGGAGCGCTACCACGGCCGGCGCGCCAAGCTGGTGGCCTGCGACGGCAACGAGATCGATACTATGTTCATGGACCGCCGCCAGGAGCCCGGCAGCCACGGGCACGGGCTGCGCCTGGTCATCTGCTGCGAGGGCAACGCCGGCTTCTACGAGATGGGCTGCCTGTCTGCGCCGCTCGAGGCCGGCTACTCCGTGCTGGGCTGGAACCACCCTGGCTTCGGCAGCAGCACGGGCGTGCCCTTCCCGCAGCACGACGCCAATGCCATGGACGTGGTCGTCAAGTACGCGCTGCACCGTCTGCGCTTCTCGCCCGCGCACGTGGTGGTCTACGGCTGGTCCGTCGGCGGCTTCACGGCCACCTGGGCCACCATGACCTACCCAGAGCTGGGCGCACTGGTGCTGGACGCCACCTTCGACGACCTCGTGCCGCTGGCGCTGAAGGTCATGCCGCACAGCTGGAAGGGGCTGGTGGTGCGCACCGTGCGCGAGCACTTCAACCTCAACGTGGCGGAGCAGCTGTGCTGCTACCCCGGGCCGGTGCTGCTGCTCCGACGCACGCAGGACGACGTGGTCAGCACCTCGGGCCGCCTGCGGCCCCTGCAACCTGGCGACGTGGAAGGCAACCGCGGAAATGAGCTGCTGCTGCGCCTGCTGCAGCAGCGCTACCCCGCCCTGATGGCGGGAGGGGGCCAGGCCGTCGTCACGCGCTGGCTGCGCGCTGGCAGCCTGGCGCAGGAGGCTGCCTTCTATGCACGCTACCGCGTGGACGAGGAGCAGTGCCTGGCGCTACTGCGCTCCTACCGTGCATGCTGCGAAGAAAAGCTGGAGGGCGAGGAGGCCCGGGGGCCGCACGGACCCGGCTTTCCATGGCTGGTGGGTCAGGGCCTGAGGTCAAGGCGGCGGCGGCAGCTGGCACTGTTCCTGGCTCGGAAGCACCTCAAGAATGTGGAGGCGACTCACTGCAGCCCTCTGGAGCCTGAGGACTTTCAGTTGCCCTGGGGGTTGTGACCTATGTCCCTGTGGGGGATCATACACTGAAACACCTTCCTGGTTCCCCTTCCCAAACCCCCAACCAGTAACCCTGGTCCTGCGAGGCGGGCGGCTGCAGGGGGCTCCGAACCTGCTGTTTGGGGGCGAATGGGCAGGACACAGGAACGTGGCGCTCTCCTTCCTTCCCGGGGGCATTTCTGACCTTCCCTGTTCTTCCTTGCTCTGTCCCCTCCTTTCTCTCTCTTCCTCCCACAAATACTTTTGGACGCCCCCACCCAGCTCCTAAAGGAAATGCAAAAATTAACCTGACCCAGTTTATGGCAGTCCTGTGTGATGGGTGCCTCTACCACCACAAAAGGATGATGGGAAGAGGGGCTGCGGGGTCACCGGGAGGAGCCCCTCACCTGGCCTGGGTTACAGCTGGCTCCCAGGAAAACTATGCCAGCAGTGTGCTGAAAGTCTGTGCAAGCTGCTCCGTGAAAGGACACTGGCATCACAGGCTTGTAGGGAGGTCTCAGTGGCTGAGCATTCATTCCCAGGAGTTTACACTCTGTAGGGCTCCCTCCCACCTCCAAACTATGGGCTTCCACACCAGGGCATTCACAGATGGACTGCAGACTCACATGGTGGCATGCGAGGCTACTGTTACACCTGCACAGGCCAGGGGACACTACTGGGTGTCCCCTGGAGCGAGGCCTGGGCTGGACTTTGTTCCTGGCCGAGGGATGCAACACAGAACGAGAGACAAGTCCTCTGCTCACCACTGTCGTCTGTAGTGTCACGTCTCTGCGCTCTGCCCTGAATTGCCTAAAGCAGGCAGAGAGCAGAAGCAGGCTGTGCTTGTCCCTAGTTCCTGGGCTGGCCTGGTTGGGTTGAGCAAAAATCTCTGGAAAGAAAGGAAGGCAGGAAATGAAGGAGACATCACTGAGAGCAGCAGAGCAGGGTAAGGCCACGGGGGTAAGAGAGTCCGGCCTGTGCAAGAGTACCAGGAAGACACCTGGGGGAGGAGGTGGCCAGGTGAAGGAAGAGGCAGTGGGAGGAGGGCCCAGAACCACCCCAGGCTGGAAGGCCAGAGTGCAGTCCTAAGACCTCAGATCCTAAGGGGCTTGAATACCATTTAAGGCTTTTCTTCCAGGAGCAAACAGGAGCCAAAGAAGGGACGCTGTGGGACTTGTTTTTTTCGTGGGGCCAGTTGCCTGGTGGTTACACGCCTCTCCTCTGAGATCAGGCATCCTGTTCCAGAGTATCCTGGTAGCACTTGCGGCGACCTGGGGCAAGTCACTTTAACCTCAGCTTCCTCATCTGTGGAGTGGGGAGGGCCCAGCGCTGCCTGGGTCGTGGTGAACAGGAAGCGAGACAAGCCCCGGGGTGCACGGGCTGCAGGGTTCACGCCCAAGGCTGGCAGAGGAGAGGACTTGAGGAGCCGAGTGGCCTCCAGTCGGGTCTCGGCCGCCCGGTGGGCAGCGGCGCCTGCAGGGCGAGAGGCCGAACCGCGGTCTTTTTCAGCACAATCCGCATGCAGTAAAAAGTCCCCGTCAGGCCGGGCGCGGTGGCTCAAGCCTGTAATCCCAGCACTTTGGGAGGCCGAGGCGGGTGGATCACGAGGTCGAGAGATCGAGACCATCCTGGTCAACATGGTGAAACCCTGTCTCTACTAAAAATACAAAAAAACTAGCTGGGCGTGGTGGCGCGTGCCTGTAATCCCAGCTACTCAGGAGGCTGAGGCAGGAGAATTGCCTGAGCCCAGGAGGCGGAGGTTGCGGTGAGCCGAGATCGCGCCATTGCACTCCAGCCTGGGTAACAAGAGCGAAACTCCGTCTCAAAAAAAAAAAAAAAAAAAAAAAAAAAAAAAAAAAAGTCCCCGTCAAAAGGACAAAGTAGCCAGGCGCTGTGGCTCACGCCTAAAAACCTAACACTTTGGGAGTCCGAGGCGGGTGAATCACCTGAGGCCAGGAGTTCGAGACCAGCCTGGCCCACGTGGAGAAACCTCATCTCTACTAAAAGTACGAGTATCAGGCCGGACGCGTTGGGTGCACCTGTAATCCCAGCTTATGGGGAGGCTGAGATGGGAGAATCCCTTGAACCTGGGGACGGAGGTTGCGGTGAGCCGAGATCGCACCACTGGACTCCAGCCTGGGCAACAAGGGCGAAACTCCGTCTCGGAAAAAATAAAATAAAAAATGACAAATTAGAAAACAGAAAATAAATACAGGACTCACAGGGGAAGGCAGACCCCCAAAGTCAACGGTCGGGCGGGAAAGGATCTCACGGGGTCAGGGTCGGAGCCATCGAGGCGCGCGAGCCCCGACACTAGCGAGCAGCTGCATCCGCCCCGGAAGGTCCCCTGGGCCCTGCGGCGGCCTTCCACAGCGCCATGTTGGACGGTCCTCCCACTTCCCACCGCGCCGCGCTCCCGCTGCTCTGACCGTTCTACCTGTGCATCTCGCTGGTGGAGTCAACCTGGAACGGATTCCCTCCGAACCCCTCCTCCGTTTCCGGCTTCGCCCGCAGTTTCGGCCTATCGGGTTGAGTCAGATGAGCCAGGACGGGCCAAACCACGCTCTCATTGGACAACACTGGTGGGCGGGAGGAGGGCGGAGCCCGCGCCGGAGCGGAAGTGGCCGTCGCGTCGCTGATGACGTAAGGCGGCGGGGCCGAAGCAGTTCCGCTGGCTGGTGTGGACGCGGCGAGCCAGGCCCGGCGCCACCCGCTCGGCTCTTTCAGCGCCCGCTACAGCGGTCCGGACGCCGCCCGAACATGGACTCCGCCGGCCAAGGTACCTGCGGATTCCGGCGCCTCCGCCGCAGAGGGGCCCCGGCCGCCGGGTGTGCCCCCTCTCCCGGGGTCGCGTGCGCGGCTCTCGGTCCTCTCCGCCTCCGCTTGCCCCTCTTCAGCTCCCGGGCCGCCGACCGCGAAGCTCACGATGGCCGTGGGGCGCGTCTTTCGCCCGCGGCCCGGACCGCCCCCTGGGCTCTCTCCGGCCGCCCTCCCGGTCTTCTCCGGGGCCTCTCCGAGGTCTGGTTCCCTGGCGGCTGCTCCGGGCAGGTCTCACGTGTGCCGCCCCCCCCCCCGCCCCGTCCTTGCTCTGCCACCGCGGGGTTCCTGCGCGGGGCACCGGGACCCGGCCCGAGGTGTGGAGGACGGCTCCCGAGAAGGGGCAAGGGGCGGTGAAACGGTCTTCGCGTTCAGCAGAGCCCCCCTTGGGTGGCAGCTCTGCTCGGAGCTCAGCCTACTTAGGGGTGGCTCATGGAGAGGGGTGCAGGGAGTCGGGGGCACCCCCAGGACTGTTTCCAGAACAGTCACCTCGGAGCAGGACGAGATGGCCACTGAGGAATATGGAGCGAACCCAGGAGATTACAATCTTGAGAAGATGGTACACGTCTGTCTTCCCTTTTGGGCTGTAGAGAGGGGTGCTAAATTTCTAAGTTGAGGTAACCACACAGGATAAGTTCAGGAAGCTTTTCCACTGTTAAACTGCAGTTGCATTTTAAGCATTATGTGTGTGTGTGTGTGTGTGTACACACACACACACACACACACACACACACATATTTGAGAGGTAGCCTTGCTCTGTCGTCGGGATGGAGTGCACTGGCACTGTCTTGGCTTACTGGATTCTCCTGCCTCAGCCTCCCAAGTAGCTGGGAGTACAGGCACGTGCCACCACGCCAAGCTAATTTTTGTGTTTTTAGTAGAGACAGGATTTCACTCTTTTGGCCAGGATGGTCTCGATCTCTTAACTTCGTGATCCACCTTGGCCTCCCAAAGTGCTGGGATTGCAGGCGTGAGCCACTGCACCAGGTTGCATATTCAGCATTATAATTCCTGGGTGCCGCTTTGTTCTGCAAGGCATTTATTTGTTTATTTATTTATTTTTGAATTTATTTATTTAGAGATAGCGTCTGTCTCTGTCACCCAGGCTGGAGTGCAGTGGTAGCTTACTGCAATCTTCAACTCCTGGGCTCAAGCGACCTTCCTGCCTCAGCCTCCCAAGTAGCTGGGACTGTAGGACTGCAGGTGCACCATCCCGGGTCAATTGGTCTTTCTACTTTTTTGGTGGGGTGGGGCAAGGACACAGGGGGACAGAATTTTCACTCTTGTTGCCCAGGCTGGAATGCAGTGGCATGATCTTGGCTCGCTGTAACCTCCACCTCCTGGTTCAAGCGATTCTCCTGCCTCAGCCTCCCGAGTAGCTGGGATTGCAGGCATGCACCACCATGCCCTGCTAATATTTTATTTTTGGTGGAGACGGGATTTCTCCATGTTGGTCAGGCTGATCTTGAACTCCTGACCTCAGGTGATCCGCCCTGGTTTGGCCTCCCACAGTCCTGGGATTACAGGCGTGAGCCACTGCTCCTGGCTTCATTTATCTTTTTTTTTTTTTTTTTTTTTTTTTTTTTTGAGACGGAGTTTCGCTCTTGTTACCCAGGCTGGAGTGCAATGGCGCGATCTCGGCTCACCGCAACCTCCGCCTCCTGGGCTCAGGCGATTCTCCTGCCTCAGCCTCCCGAGTAGCTGGGATTACAGATATGCGCCACCACGCCCAGCTAATTTTTTGTATTTTTAGTAGAGATGGGGTTTCACCTTGTTGACCAGGATGGTCTCGATCTCTCGACCTTGTGATCCACCCGCCTCGGCCTCCCAAAGTGCTGGGATTACAGGCTTGAGCCACCGCGCCCGGCCTCATTTATCTTTTTTCAAATAGAAGAGAAAGGCTGGGCTCGGTGACTCACGCCTATAATCCCAAAGCTTTGGGAGGCCAAGGCCAGTGGATCACTTGAGGTGAGGGGTTTGAGACCAGCCTGGCCAACAAAGCGAAACCTGGTCTCTACTAAAAATTTAAAAACTAGCCAGGCAGGGCCAGGCCTGGTGGCTCAAGCCGGTAATCCCAGCACTTTGGGAAGCCGAGGCGGGTGGATCATGAGGTCAAGAGATTGAGACCATTCTGGTCAACATGGTGAAACCCCGTCTCTACTAAAAATACAAAAAAAAAAAAAAAATTAGCTGGGCATGGTGGTGCGTGCCTGTAGTCCCAGCTACTCAGGAGGCTGAGGCAGGAGAAATTGCCTGAACCCAGGAGGCGGAGGTTGTGGTGAGCCGAGATCGCGCCACTGCACTCCAGCCTGGGTAACGAGCAAAAACTCTGTCTTAAAAAAAAAAAAAAAACTAGCCAGGCATAGTGGTTCGAGCCTGTAGTCCCAGCTGCTTCGGAGGCTGAGGCAGGAGAATTGATTGAACCCAGGACGTGGAGGTTGCAGTGAGTGGAGATCACGCCACTGCACTGCAGCCTGGGTGACAGAATGAGACTCGTCTCAAAAAAAAAAAAAAAGTCAGAATCAGTTGATAAAACAGTGGATAAACTTCATGTATTAAGCATTTTTCGAGTGCCAGGAAAGTGCACAGCTTCAGTCCTGTGGGACATTTGAAGGGAATGACCTGCAGCCAGCTTTTAAAAAGGGGGTCTTTGTTAAGTGCATTCAATCTGTTTGTTTTGTTTTTTAATTGGAAAGGCATAGTTTTTATTTTATTTTATTTATTTATTTTTTGAGACGGAGTTTCGCTCTTGTTACCCAGGCTGGAGTGCAATGGCGCGATCTCGGCTCACCGCGACCTCCGCCTCCTGGGTTCAGGCAATTCTCCTGCCTCAGCCTCCCGAGTAGCTGGGATTACAGGCGCGTGCCACCATGCCCAGCTAATTTTTTGTATTTTTAGTAGAGACGGGGTTTCACCGTGTTGACCAGGATGGTTTGGATCTCTTGAGCTCGTGAGCCACCACGCCCAGCCTTATTTTAATTTACTTTTAAGGTAAGCTCAGTGGCTCACGCCCGTAATCCCAGCACTTTGAGAGGCCAGGGTGGATCACGAGTCAGGAGTACAAGACCAGCCTGGCCAAGATGGTGAAACCCCATCTGTAATAAAAGTACAGAAAAATTAGCCGGGTGTAGTGGTGGGCACCTGTAATCCCAGCTACTTGGGAGGCTGAGGCAGAGAATTGCTTGAACCCGGGATTTAGAGGTTGTATGAGCCAATGGCGCCATTGCACTCCTGCCTAGGTGACAGAGTGAGAATCCATCACACACAAAAAAAGTGGAAGATCTGTTAGATTGAGCTGCTTTCTTTGTAGCAAGGTTTCCTGCCTCTGAAGATAGTATTCTCACTGGGAAGCTGGAATTGGGGTTTGGCTGTCTTGGGCCAGCATTTCTCGTGCTCTGAAGCAGCACAGGTGGTACTGGATTTTCATCTCAAGGTGGCCTGAGGTGTGGCTGCCCTAGTCTGATGCCGAAGCTGTCCTCACAGACCTCTCAGAGAAGAGGTGTGAGTCTCTGGGGTCTCCCTCCCTCCCACCTTTGCTTTCGTCCTGCTAGAGACCTCTGCTGTATTTACTTAGAAGGAAGTAACTCTCTGGCCTCATTTTGTCTCTGGCAGATATCAACCTGAATTCTCCTAACAAAGGTCTGCTGTCTGATTCCATGACCGACGTCCCTGTCGGCACAGGTGTGGCTGCCCGGACTCCTGCTGTTGAGGGTCTGACAGAGGCTGAGGAGGAGGAGCTCAGGGCTGAGCTGACCAAGGTGCTGTGGCTTGGCTTTCTGTTCTGGTGTGAATTGGTGTTAAGGCCCTCTTGGATTAATGAGAGGCCAGGATACTGGCCATATTCTGGAGGAATTGCCTTGGGTGGCCACCCACCCTGCTCTGCCTTCCCATGGATAGTGGGGCTCTCTTTGTATGTGCCCAGCTCCATGCACTGGACTCAGAGCCACCTGGCAGTAGAGGCAGGGCATGACTTCCTCCCCACACCTCTGCCTGGTCCTTCTGGAGTGCTTCAGGGAGAGTATTCACACACAAACTGCCTCTGAGCAGCCATCTGCTGAGAGTGTCTCTGTTGGAATTAACACTTGATATATATTTTTTTTTTTTCTTTGAGATGGAGTCTTGCTATGTCGCCCATGCTGGAGTGCAGTGGTACGATCTTGGCACACTGCAACCTCCACCTCCTGAATTCAAGCAATTCTCCTGCCTTACTCTCCTGAGTAGCTGGGACTACGGGCGCCCGCCACCACATCTGGCTAATTTTTTGTATTTTTAGTAGAGATGGGGTTTCACCATGTTAGCCAGGGTGGTTTCAATCTCCTGACCTCGTGATCCGCCCCCTGTCAGCCAGGAGTGAACCATCGCACCCAGCCTAATTTTTGTATTTTTAGTTGAGACAGAATTTTACCATGTTGGTCAGGTTGCTCTTGAACTCCCAGTCTCAAGAGATCTGCTTGGCTCAGCTTCCCAAAGTGCTAGGATTGTAGGCTTGAGCCACGTGCCCAGCCAAGAAAGATAATTTTTTTTTTTTTTTTTAAAGATGGAGTTTCGCTCTTGTTGCCCAGGCTGGAGTGCAATGGCGCGATCTCGGCTCACTGCAACCTCCATCTCCCGGGTTCAGGCAATTCTCCTGCCTCAGCCTCCTGAGTAGCTGGGATTACAGGCACGTGCCACCATGCCCAGCTACTTTTTGTATTTTTAGTAGAGATGGGGTTTCACCTTGTTGACCAGGATGGTCTCCATCTCTTGACCTCGTGATCCACCCGCCTCGGCCTCCCAAAGTGCTGGGATTATAGGCATGAGCCACCGCGCCCAGCCTGATAATTTTTTTTTTTTTTTAGGATGGAGTCTCACTCTGTCGCCCAGGTTGGAGTGTAGTGGCATGATCTCGGCTCACTGCAGCCTCCACCTCCCAAGTTCAAGTGATTCTCTTGCCTTAGTCTTCTGAGTAGCTGAGATTATGGGTGCACACCACCACTCCTGGCTAATTTTTGTATTTTTAGTAGAGATGGGGTTTTGCCATGTTGGCCAGGTTGGTCTCGAACTCCTGACTGTAGGTAATCCGCCTGCCTCAGCCTCCCAAAGTGCTGGGATTACAAGGAAGAAAGATAATTCATTTTTTTATTTTTTTGAGACAGAGTTTCACTCTTGTTGCCCAGGCCGGAGTGCAATGGCACAATCTCGGCTCACTGCAACCTCTGCCTCCTGGGTTCAAGCTATTTTCCTGCCTCCTGAGTATCTGGGATTATAGGCGAATGCCAGCACACCCGGCTAATTTTTGTATTTTTAGTAGAAATGGGGTTTTATCATATTGTTCAGGCTGGTCTCAGACTCCTGACCTTGTGATCCACCCACCTCAGCCTCCCATAGTGCTGGGATTACATGCACAAGCCACTGAACCCGGCCAGGTTTTTCACCTTTTTAAAAACATGCTCAGTCCCAGGAAAGAGCTTGGACAAGCCTAGCATGGTGATCCTGGGTCATTCCTCATGACTGCAAATGGACACAGTGATTGGTAGCTCTACCAGAACCATTTAGCTCAGAGGCATGGAACAGTTCTCTGGAGTCAAGTTCCTAGTACCAGATTAAAACAATGTCTGCTGGCTGAGTGCGGTGGCCCTTGCCTGTAATCCCAGCACTTTGGGAGGCCAAGGCTAGTGGATCACCTGAGGTTGGGAGTTCAAGACCAGCCTAACCAACATGGCGAAACCCTAGCTCTACTAAAAATATAAAATTAGCCAGGCGTGGTGGTGGGCACCTGTAATCCCAGCTACTTGGGAGGCTGAGGCAGGAGAATTGCTAGAACCTGGGAGGCGGAGGTTGTGGTGAGCTGAGATCGCGCCATTGCACTCCAGCCTGGGCAGCAAGAGCAGAACTGTCTCAAAAAAAATCTGCTGTAGACACTATTCCTAGGATGAGTTAATGCTTTGGTAAGCGGAAAGTTCTTGTGTAACTCTTCTGGCGCTGTGTATGAGGATGTTAGTCACTTCCCGCAGTAGTGATGGCTCATCATGTCAACTATGTGCTTTGCAGGTGGAAGAGGAAATTGTCACTCTACGCCAGGTCCTGGCAGCCAAGGAGAGGCACTGTGGAGAGCTCAAGAGGAGGCTGGGCCTGTCCACCCTGGGGGGCTTGAAACAGAACCTGTCCCGGAGCTGGCATGATATGCAGGTCTCTAACGCGTAGGTACCTGCCCCAGCCGCACGCCGGGGGGCTGGGGAGAACGTGGACCACAGATGTGTTTCTGGCTTGTGGTGTGGGGAGTGTCTTCATGCTCAGGGATGAGGTCCAGCCATGGAGTTGAGTAGCCTGTTTGGAAGGAGCCAGTGGGAGGCTCTGAGCTCTTGACCCAGGGACTCTGCCTTTTTTGTTCAAAGAGTTTGGAGTCTACATGTGTTTTATTTATTTTTAAATTTTTGTATATTTATTTATTTTTTTGAGACAGAGTCTCTCTGTTGCCCATGGTAAAGTGTGATGGCGTGATCTTGGCTTACTACAACTTCCACCTCCCGGTTTCAAGCAATTCTCCTGCCTCAGCCTCCAGAGTAGCTGGGATTACAGGTGCCCACCACCACGCCTGGCTAATTTATATTTTTAGTAGAGACGTGGTTTTGCCATGCTGTCCAGGCTGGTCTCGAACTCCTGACTCAGGTGATCTGCCTACCTCGGCCTCCCAAAGTGCTGGGATTACAGGCGTGAGCCACCACATCTGGCCTTTTTTTTTCTTTTTTCTGATGGTCTCACTGTCACCCAGGCTGGAGTGCAGTGGCGTAATCATGACTCACTGCAACCTCAACCTCTTGGGGTCAAGCAGTCCTTCCATCTCAACTCCCTAGTAGCTGGGACTATAGGCGTGCACCACCATGCCTGGCTAATATTTTCACGTTTTGTAGAGACAGTGTCCTGCTTTGTTGCTTAGGCTGGCCTGAAATTACTGGGCTTAAGCAATCCTCCTGTCTCAGCCTCCCAAAATGCTTGGGATTGCAGGTGTGTGCCACCACACCCAGCTTATGTGTTTTAAAAAGGCAGATGGACACACAGGCAAGTTGTTCAGGTGGAAATTGATAGGTAGAATGTGTTTCAGGGTCCAGACTTGAGAGAGCACTGATCAGGTCCTTGGCAAGAATGTTTTTTTCTGTGGTCCTTACTGTGGGTGTGGCATGGTCGCAGCCTGTGACCCAGATTTGACCATATGGGCTGGGCTCAGTGGCTTGTGCCTGTAATTCCAGCACTTTGGGAGGCCGAGGTGGGTGGATCACTCGAGGTTAGAGGTTCAAGACCAGCCTTGCCAACATGGTGAAACCTCCTCTCTACTAAAAAATAGAAAAATCTGGCTGGGCATGGTGGTGTGCACCTGTGATCCCAGCTGCTGGGGAGGCTGAGGCAGGAGAATCTCTTGAACCTGGGAGGTGGAGGTTGCAATAAGCCAAGATTGTGCCACTGCATTCCATCCTGGGCAACAGAGCAAGACTCTGTCTTAAAAAAAAAATACAGGGCCGGGTGTGGTGGCTCATGCCTGTAATCCCAGCACTTTGGGAGGCCGAGGCAGGCGGATCACGAGGTCAACAGATCGAGACCATCCTGGCCAATATGGTGAAACCCTGTCTCGTACTCAAAATACAAAAAAATAGCCGGGCATGGTGGCATGTGCCTGTGGTCCCAGCTACTCGGGAGGCTGAGGTGGAAGAATCACTTGAACCCAGGAGGCGGAGGCTGCAGTGAGCTGAGTTTGTGCCACTGCACTCCAGCCTGGCAACAGAGCAAGACTCCGTCTCAAAAAATAAATAAATAAAATTAAAAAAAAATACAGATATGATCATATTGTCCCACAACCCCAGGACCTCTGACCTTTTATGACTGCATGGTCCTATAACCCTGGGATCTCTGTCCCAGATGTGGCCTAGCTCTCTGAATTTGGGACGTGCTGCTTTCTCATTCGGCCCTTTCCACGTGGCTTTTCTGAAACATAACCTTCAAGGTGGGGGCGGGCGTGGAATGTTTCCCGGAAGCCATGTTCCCACAGAAAGATCAAGTCACGCTTCATAAATCTCACGTATGAAAAGCCCATGTTTTTGTCCTGGGCCATCATAGGTTTTGAATTCCAAGGTGTTTTGGAGCTTTGGGCTGTGCCCTTCCAGTTCCCCGAAGCTCACCTGGCGGCCTGGGGCCTGCACAGGGCGTGCTGGGGCCGTGCACCCTGTTGTCGGGCTGTCTGTGGAGCTGATGTTCCTGCCAGTTGGTCGTTCTTTGTCTTCCTTGGAACCCCGCCTGCAGTTTGAAGCCTGAGTTAAAATTGTTCTTCTAAATAATTCACTGTAGACTTTCTGTTTTTAGCTATGTGAAAACTTCTGAGAAACTTGGAGAGTGGAATGAGAAGGTGACCCAGTCAGACCTGTGAGTGCCTGTGCCCTCAGCACTGCTCCTTCCTCCTCTCCGCCTCAGTCAGGGAAGGGGGCTGTGCACGCTTAGCACAAAGCTTGTTTTGGTGTTTGCTGGCTATATTTTCTTAATATTACTTTTTCTGTCTCAGCTAAACTAGCCTTTAAACTTGTGTGGAGCCGGGAGTAGTAGCTGAAGGAAACTCTCTCAGCCCCCTGACCACACTTAAAACTCCCCTCTGAGGCCGGGCGCGGTGGCTCAAGCCTGTAATCCCAGCACTTTGGGAGGCCGAGGCGGGTGGATCACAAGGTTGAGAGATCGAGACCAACCTGGTCAACATGGTGAAACCCCGTCTCTACTAAAAATACAAAAAATTAGCTGGGCATGGTGGCGCGTGCCTATAATCCCAGCTACTCAGGAGGCTGAGGCAGGAGAATTGCCTGAACCCAGGAGGCGGAGGTTGCGGTGAGCCGAGATCGCGCCATTGCACTCCAGCCTGGGTAACAAGAGCGAAACTCTGTCTCAAAAAAAAAAAAAAAAAAAAAAAAAAAAAAAACTCCCCTCTGCCCGACACATCCTTAGATAGGAGGCCCTCACTGGTCCCAGCTTCATCTCTCACCAGTAGAGCTGCTTGGCTTCCCTCGGTGCACAAGCCGGACAACACCACTTGGCCTGATTTTGTTGGCAAATTTTTGTTTGTCCCTGCTTAGCTCCAGCTGGTGGGTGTCAGAATTCCTTTCATCCTTTAGAGGTAGTTCTTGAGTGGAGGGTGTGGTGTGGGATGTGCTGGTGGAATTCAAAGTCCTGATGGTCTGGGAGGCACCGCACTGTCGGAGCGGCAGCTGTGTGGATTCAGCGCGATAGCTGTATATGTGTGTGTCGGGTGTAGTTCAGAGTGACTCCTAATGTTTGGAGATCCTTTCACCAGATAATTGCACTTCATTGATTTGTGCTCTGAAATGATTATAACTTCTTTAAACTGAGTAGAGGAGTATTTTTAAACAGTCTCTGTGGGAGTTTTCCGTCAGTTATTTAGAAGGAAGCGCTGTCATGGTTGCCACAGAAGACGGGCAGAAGGTCCTCCCATGTTTGGCTGAAAGGAAATGGTTGCTGGCGAGCTTGTTTTGAGGGTCCCAGGGGGCCAGGCTGGCGCTGCGTGTACGTGGAGCCTTTGTGTCTGGTGTCACAGTGGGGGGCGGTGTTAGGACCTGGCAGTGGTTGGGCGTGGCTACAGCAGCCAGCTGTTGACCTGGGTATTCTAGGAGCCCTGGTGGGCTGTGTCTTAGGGCTGTGTTGAACAGTGACTTCGCTGGGCCACAGGTGTTTCTCAGGTTGGGACAGTGATGGTTGTCCCTGCAGTCTGGGCATCGGGCAGATGCACAGTGCAGTCAGTCTGCAAGGAGTCTTAGGAGACCTCAGCGCTGTTCTGTAAAACCAACTGACATGAAAAAGCTGCCGGGGTCCGGGCGCGGTGGCTTACACCTGTAATCCCAGCACTTTGGGAGGCCGAGGCGGGTGGATCACAAGGTTAAGAGATCAAGACCATCCTGGTCAACATGGTGAAACCCCGTCTCTACTAAAAATACAAAACATTAGCTGGGCATGGTGGCACGTGCTTGTAATCCCAGCTACTCAGGAGGCTGAGGCAGGAGAATTGCCTGAACCCGGGAGGCGGAGGTTGCGGTGAGCCGAGATCGCGCCATTGCACTCCAGCCTGGGTAACAAGAGCGAAACTCCGTCTCAAAAAAAAAAAAAAAAAAAAAGCTGCCGGGATCCTATTCCAAACAGTTTCAGAGGGCTTGCTTATAGCACTCAGAATCCTGACCCCTCTGGAGAAACCTGTGGCTCAGCGTGGATGCACATGGCTGGTGCGTCACCTGGCAGAGGCCATTCCCTTGAGGTTTCACCCCCAGTTCTGAGGGGAGACCTGTCAAACTGGCAGCCCCAGAGTGGAAGCGTTTCTGTCCAGACAGCCCTGGGGGAGGGAGGGCGGACGGGGCGGGGCGGGGCGGGGCAGGGCAGTGGTCTCTACCTGGACTGCCCAGGTGGGGGTGATGGTCTCTACCAGGACAGGACGGTCCAGGCAGAGGACGATAGCCTCTACCGGGACGGGCCTGATGGGGGTGATGGCCTCTACCGGGACGGCCCAGGCGGAAGGGACACGGCTCGGCAGGTGGGGCCTGAGGATGTGGCTGAGGTGTGTGCTCCTCCTGGCTGGTGCCTCTCCTAGTCAGGTTTCAGGAGATGGGCTGCGGGCCGCCTCCACTGCCCAGAGCTCTTGCAGAGGAAGGCAATCAAAGCTCCCTGCATCGTGACCCACTTGTTTGTAGACCGTTTCAGCCAGGGGTAGCTGGAGGATGGGAAGGAGTGGAGTGGAGTGGAGTGGGTGGGTGGAGTGCTGGTGCTTGGCCCTGTGAGGCTGCAATGCCGCCACGTTCTCCTCAGTGGGTCATGTCTGACTGTGGGAGCAGCCCTCTTCTGTGAGTGGTGAAATGAATGCCTTGTTGGATTCTGTTTATAGGCAGAGCTAACTAAAAATCCTAGTGTTGAGGGGGGCATTGTGTAGATTCTGGAGTTAGGAGCTGGTTCACTTTGAGTTGTTTTGGTTGTAGGGGACAGAAAGTATGACTCGAGGTAGCATCAACCAAAGGGGGAGGGGGCAGCACGCACCCAGCAGAGAAGCCCCAGGGAGGGGGCAGCACTCACCCAGCAGAGAAGCCCCAGGGAGGGGGCAGCACTCACCCGGCAGAGAAGCCCCAGGGAGGGGGCAGCACTCACCCAGCAGAGAAGCCTCTGCTCCGGCGCTGCAGCCTAGCAGTGTGGCCCCTGGACCGATGGCTGTGGCCTGGGAGGTGGTGTGCTCTGGCTAGGCCTGGATCACCTGTCCACCCTGAGTGGGAGTAGGGGCAGCCACCAGAGGAAGACTCAGGAGAGCGGGAGTGCCAAGATGTCCACCAGATGCCCTGTGCTGGCCCGGGGACGGCTCGCTGGCCATGGGACGAAACTGCTTTGTCCAGGGCTCTCTTCCTAGAAGGTCTTAGTAACTCCCAAATGGGTGTTGGCTGGGGTTGCCCAGCGTGGCGCTCTAAAGTACAGCTGAAGGTGGTTATTGGGTGCAGAGGCTGGCTGTGAGCCCTGCGCCTTCCTCCTGGGCCCAGCTTCCTCTTCTGGAGTAATAACAGCCCTGCCTTCTGGCTCATTTGAGGAATGTGTGTGCCTGCGCGTTTGAGGCTCTCAGAACAGGCTTGCAGCCCTGTGAGCCTTGGAAGGGGGACCTCACAGCTACTGCTGCCGCCGCTTGGGAGGCCCAGGATGGGACTAAGAAGGGGAAAGGAGAGGTCAAAGCCACAGCCAGGTTGTAGGAAGAGAAGGCCGGGGAGGTGCTGCTGGGGGCCTCAGGCCGTGCAGGGGATGCCCAGTGCTTCCAGGGCCGTCCGAAGTTTGGGGGTTCCTATTTCCAGAGAAGGTTCCCTTGTGACCCCTTGTTCTCACACCCAAGCAATGCGCAGGCCGTGGAGCCACCAGGGCTTGAGTGTGGTTTATGGCATGGCACAGCAGGGACCACAGTGGCCCCTCGTGTCAGCGTGACCCTCAGGACCCTCCTCCTCGGGCAGGTGGTTCTTACCCACCCACAGGTAACGTTCAAGACCCCTGTCTCCTTCTGAAGGCGGTGCCAGGCACAGGTGGTGGTTTTCTGTCTGACTTCAGTTTTTCATCCCCACTCTGAGCACAAATGCAGGTACTGTGAGGACCTTAGAATCCTTTGCTGCAGGTGACTTCGCTTCAGCAAACCACGGAATGTTCACGCTTTTATGCATTTGATATTTCAGGGAAAATCAAGGTTGAAGATGTTTTCAGAATTTGTATTTTTGAAACTAAATATAGCAGGTCATTAGTTATTTAAACCTGGTGTTCTATTTAAAAACAACAACAAAAAACAAAAACAGCCGTGGTTCCAGCTGCACAGTCTGGATGGGAAAGTACATCTTCTGGGCCAGGTGTGGTGGCTCACACCTGTAATCCCAGCACTTTGGGAGGCCGAGACAGGCATATCATCTTAGGTCAGGTGTTCGAGACCAGCCTGGTGAAACCCCGTCTGTACTAAAAATACAGAATTAGCCAGGCGTGGTGGTGGGAGCCTGTAATCAGGGAGGCTGAGGCAGGAGAATCTCTTGAACCCAGAGGCAGAGGTTACAGTGAGCCAAGATCGCACCACTGCATTCCAGCCTGGGTGACAGAGTGAGACTGCATCTCAAAAAAAAAAAAAAAATAGTGCATCATCTGGGTAGGCCTTGGGCTGGGGGCCCGAGCAGGCACCGGGCGGGCACAAGAACTCTGTGCTAGGATGTGCTGTCAGCGCTCACTTGCCGTGTCCCACAGTCGTGTCAGCTGCTGGGAGCTGGAGAGTAGCAGCACTCGGCTCACACGGGGCCTCCTGCAGGGAGCGCTTCGGAGGTCCTGTGAGTGAGGGCCCCAGAAGGCTCGTCGTGGTGCCTGCTGGGAGCTGGTGCCTTCTCTGGCACCCATTCCAGATGCCACCCAGTCATGGCCTGGGCTTGCCAGCTCTCCAGGTTGGCACTGGCAACGCCAGGATGGCCCTGGGAGCCCGTCTGTATTCAGCCTTCAGCTCCCTGACTTCATTCAGGGGGGAGCTGTGGTGAGTGGCTTGTGGGCTTTGTTACTGGAGGCTGCCATGTTCTGTGCTTATACAGTGGCAGCTGGATGAGGGCCAGCGATGTCAGGTGTTGACTGTTACAGTGGCCTGCGTGTCCCTGCAACTGCAGCATCCTGCCTGCTGCCCTCGGCCTGTCCCGTGGACGCCGAGGCCCTGGAAATTTTGTTTGGTGGGATGCACCATGTGGGTGGACACTTGGGGAGCTAGAGGGGACGGAAGCATGGCCTTCACTGGGGGCACTGTGAGGAGAGGCCTGTCCCGTGTCCCCCTGGAGCACACAGGGCTCCTCGTGGGCCACGTGGCCACGCTGTGAAGCTCGTCTCCCCCTGGCCTCGTTGAGCTGCGTTTTCTCCCCTCAGTACAGTCTCATGTGGGAAGAGGAAAGGGGCCCTGCACGAATGTGTTAGGGTTAAGGATCTGAGAGGCCTTTCTGCTCCGGCACTGCCTGCACGCCTGCACCTCAGGGGCCCGTCGCTCTCTAGCAGGCAGATGGGGCGCCTTCTCTGTAGTCAGAGGGACTGTGAGAAGTCCGGAGAGCAGGCTCAGTAGGTGTCGGGTGAGGGGTGGAGTTGGACTGTGAGATGAGAAGGCAGCGTCATTGCAGGGCTGCGGACCGTGACTCCCAGTGTTGCTAAGAGCTCCTGGGCGGGCACAGCATGGGCTGCTCCTCGCTATAGGGGTCTCTGGGGGCCGAGGGGCTCTGGGCTTGCACCCCTCTGCAGCCACCTGGCGGGCATCCACCCCCCGCTCCAGCTCCTTTCCTCGGTTTCCCTCGGGCTCGCTCCCAGTGCTTTGCTTGGCTGTGGGTGGTGGCCCACCCATGCTGTCCGGTTGGTTTAACTAGTGTGTATTCTTCCAGCTACAGGAAGACTCAGGAAACACTTTCACAGGCAGGACAGAAGACTTCAGCTGCCCTGTCCACGGTGGGCTCTGCCATCAGCAGGAAGCTTGGAGACATGAGGTGAGACCTGACCCTGACCCTGCTGCCCCAAAACCTGGCCAGGGCCAGTGCAGGGTGAGGCCTTGGAGGCGCTCCAGGAAGCCTGCCTGGAGATCAGGGCTCAGGCGCACTGGCTCAGGGATTTGGCTGTCATGGCCCCCGACCAGTCTGCGTGCAGACACTTGCCTGGGAGGTTTGTGTGTTCCCATTGGCTGCTGTTCTGCCGTTTCTTTTTATTTATTTATTTATTTATTTATTTATTTTTAAGATGGGGTTTCACCATGATGGCCAGGCTGGTCTTGAACTCCTGACCTTAGGTGATCCATCCACCTCTGCCTCCCAAAGTGCTAGGATTACAGGCGTGAGCCACCGTGCCCGGCCTGTTCTGCCATTTCTTTGTTCTTCAAGGAGGGTAGCTGCTGGTGCCATTGGGTGACTTGTGGTGCTCAGGGTTGGTGAGGGAGGAGTGTGCTCCTTGACGCCTCATTGCGAGGCAGCGACCCCAGCCTGGGGGTCGGGCAGGGTGGGCGGCAGTCCTCCACCATCTCCAGGACAGGTGCTCGGCGTGGTGCTTCCTCAGGGTGTTGCCCAGGTCTCAGTGCAGTCAGACAGCCGGAGGCCCTGAATGAGCCTTCTCTCCTGGAGGCTGGCGACAGCCACCTGGCCGTCAGAGGTCCCTCAGCAAGCAGTCCTGGGCCCAAGGACTGAGCGGGGGCCGGCGCTTTGTGGCTGGCACATCTGCCCTGCTGGCCCTGCTCTGGGCTCCTTGACCACAGCATGGTGATGAGGGGATCAAGCCAGAGGCCTGGGTGTGATGCTCAGCTGGGCTACCTCCTGGCTGGGCCTTGGTCGGGCCTTCCTTCACAGGGCTGTATGAGTGGATGATGTGCGTTGTCCCTGTCACCGGCATGTTCCAGCCTCTGGGTGCTGCTGCCCACCCTGCCCTGACCCCTTTCCCATCCTCAGAAGTGGTCTTCTGGCTTTTGGATCTCGGGGAGTGCCTCCCTGGAGCTCCGACCCAATCATGGCAAAGGTGGGTGCGGGGTTCCTGGAGGGCCGGTGTGTGGTCACAGCACTGACCCCCCGAGTCCTCCCCTCCTCCCCTCTTGTGGCCCATGCAGGATTCAGAGATATGTGCGTTTCCTGCTGGGCTGGCTTGTGGCTCCCTGCCTGCCTGCCTTAGGTTAGGTGTGTCCTGCCTTCCAGCCTGGGGTTGCCAGTTGGGGGTCGTCCTGCACCCGCCCCTTCCCCTGACCACTGAGCCAGAGGCCAGGACACAGACGGCCACACACCCAGGGACCCACCCTGCTAAGCAGAGGGACGGCCAGTGCCCAGGAGCTGTGCCCACTTTTCATTTTGTTGGTTTGAGGTAATCTACTCTCCCGTCCCTGCAACTTTTATTTCGAGAGGGTTAAACTGGAGAAGCTGCACAGTCATCAGTACACAATGTGTGTGTTTCCTTTGTACACCCTCACACGTCCAGGGCTGCACGCTCCCTAGCAGCTGTGACTTGGGGGGTCCTTGTGGGGCACCCTACAATGCAAGTCTCCACCCTGCTGAGCTCTGGACCCACCTCCTGAGCTTCGGCCGGGCGCGGCCTCGCACGACTGTTTCTTCCTGAAAATGCCGGTCTCGGCACAGAGCATCTTCAGGAAGCAGCAGGTGTCTGCCATGCTTAAGTTACACCAGCCATCAGGAGGTGTCTCGCCCACCGTAAGTGTCCCCACTCCCTTTTGAGTTTGTTCCGAGTATCATGGTGGAAATCCAAGAGGCAGGCAGAGCCTCAGCACTGACTGGAACAGCCGTGCACAAGCCAGTCCTGGCTGTTTTGATCCGGGCAGTTCTGTGTGCAGCCCGTTTTTCCCGGGAAGCACAGGGACACAGTCCCGGTTCTCTGCCCCCTCTCTGACGGGGAGAAAGGCTCTTGCTCTCCTCAGGCCTGGGGTTGGCAGCTCTCTGTCGTGTAGCCTCAGGGTGTGGCTGGGAGGGAGCGGAGTTCCAGTTGCAGTGACGCTGGCACAGCTCTGTCAGTGTGCCCGGCCACTCTGTGTCACGTGTTTGTACGTGTGCCCTGGTACATGGGGCTGGCTGCGGTGAGCGGGGCCTCAGGCTGACCTGGGAGGAGCCAGCTCACTCCAGTTGACCGGCCATGTCCTCAGTGCCCGTGGCGATGTCCTGTGTGCTGCTGTGTCTTGCCCTGCATGCTCTTCTGTGTGTGTTTGTAGTGGTGGTGTAAACTCTGACATCTGCAGCCTCTGGTGTGTCCCCCTCATCTCCAAGCAGTTACAGGTGGTTTCTGAGATCTGGGCCCATTAACTTCTTGACTTAGAGACTGAGATTGAGAGCTCTCTGCTCCCTGAAAGTGAAAATTAGGCTCTGGGAGGGTTATATCCTGAGTTAGGGCTGGATAAACCCAGCAGGCCCTCCTGACCCTTGTGTGGAACCTCCTTGGACCAGCTGCCAGCCTCCACGTCTGTGATGGGGAAGGGGCACTGGATGCAGGTCAGAGAGGGATTTACACCAGGGTCGGTCACTGTCCGGCTCTGTGGTCTCCTAGACAAGGCACCAGCCTTCTCGGAACCTCAAGTGAGTTGAGCATTTGTGGGTTCTTCAGTGGTTCCCTCCGTGTCGGAGTGGACCTGGCTGCAGTGCCTGGTGGCAGCTGCCCTCGGACACACAGGTTTCCAGGTTGGGGTCTGCGTGCATGGATGGAGCTCACGGTAGATGTGCTCGGTGCCAGGGGTGTCCCACGTCCTCCCACAGCTGGCACACTTTGGGGCACACGGGCTGCTCTGGTTCTATGGAGCTGGCCAAGCCCAGCTGTGGTGCCACGGCACGTTTCACACCTTTGTGTGGCTGGATGGGACCAGTCGTGCTCCAGGTGCTGTGGCTTCTTCTCTCCAGCCTCCAAACGGGTGTGTCCTGGGACGTAAAGACGTGGCCAGGGCGTGGATGGGGGCCTCTTGTGCACAGCCACGGGGCTGAGCAGTTGCTAGTCATGAGCTCACAGGTCATCCTGTTGAGTCAGGATTTGGGGAGACTGGAGACAGGGCTGCTCTCCCTGACCGTGTGTGGACTGGAGGAGCCATCCTGGAGGGTCTTCCCCTGCCGGGCCTTCTGAGCATGAGCGAGGGGCCCTGGGGCTCCCCACAGAGGGCTGTGGGTGGGTGCTGGCCTCCCTTGCTTACTCTGCGTTTCCTCTTCTCTCCTGCTGCCACCTTCCAGGGCTCATCCATTCTCACACTCCTTTAGGTAAGGCTGAGCCTGGACACCTGTGGAAGACTTTTCTGTGAATTGGGGCAAAGTGGGCTCTGGCAGGGCCTGTGGGAGGCTGTGCTGCCGGAGGGCGGGTAAAAGTGGGATCACCCCTCCCAGCGGGGCCAGCCGGGCAGTTGCTGCATCTCAGGGAACAAAGCAGCAGCATGGGAGGGACGCAGGGGTCCCCCTGGAACCTCCCCAGTCCCTGGCACTTCCGCGTCCCCTCCTTGTGCTTCCCACCCAGGCTCGCAGGCCACCTCCTCCCGGGTCAGTGAAGAGCTGCCCTGGCCTGGTGTCTACTCCTGAGCTTACTCCTCAGAAAGAGCATTGTCACCTGGGAGAGCTGTGCCAACCCTCTCACCGCCCTTCCTGCTAAACAGGAGTCCTATGTCCTGGTTTTCCTTCAGATCGAGTTTTGTCCTGTTTATGACCTGAGAGCGAAGGTGCTCCTCCCACAGGGCCCTGTTGCGGACCAGGGGGCTTCTCCAGGCCCACCCAGGCGCTGCCGCACACGCCCTTCTGGCTGGAACTCGGAGGTCTAGAGCCAGGCCCAGAACAACCTGTGATTTCATGTTTTTACTTGACCTGGTGGTTTCTTTTTTGCCAAAAGGCCCTTCAACTTGCTGAAGTCAAGTAAGGACATCTGAAGGCTGTTTGTACCAAATGCTTTTCAAAAGCCCAGGCCTGGTCCCCTTCCAGCTTCCCTACAGCACTGCTGTCCCCCCCCCGTGCTGTGTGCTGGGCAATTTGGGGTGCCCCCATGAGGCCAAGGGGGGACCCTTGGGTGGAGGGGCAGGCAGCTCTCCCCAACTGCTGGGAGTGGGGAGTCCCAGCGCCGGCCATGCCCGCCAAGTTGGGTTGTGTGTGGACCTAGGTGTTAATTCTTGCTTCCTTCTCTGCTTCTGCCATGCTTCCAAGCAGCAGCTACTCCATCCGCCACTCAATAAGTATGCCGGCCATGAGGTAACGTATGCTGCTCACTGCGGCTCCAGAGCCAGGTGGCTCTGGTGGGGGTTGGGGCAGCTCCCACTGGTCAGTCCTGGCCCTTCCCATATCCCTGGATTAATTAAGGATACCATTCCCATGGCAGCCTCCTGCAGGCTGAGGGCTGGGAAAGACCCCCTTTTAGGCTGGCGTGGAATCCTGGTAGGGGTCAGTCTCTTACCCTGAAGCCTCCAGAGGAGATCTTTGTGTCAAACTGGGCCATGTCCTTTCTAAGTCCTGGCCCTGGCTGGGGCGGGGTTCAGGAGGCTCGCACACAGATCCTGGCACTTGCTCTCAGGACACATCACAGGGCTCAGCCTTCATGGAAACACCCAGAGCTGTGGTCCGTGATTCTCAAGAGAGCCCTGTTCTTCTTGTAGGGACTCTGCCTGGGTGTTGCAGACATGCTGGCCTATGGGGGCCCCGGGCCTGGGGCGGGTATCTGGTTGTGTGGGAGGGACTGAGTGGGATGGAGCTGGCCTGCCCTGCTTTCTCCTCCTCTGTCTCCTTATCGATCACTCTGCTGTCCCAGAAGCATCCTTGGTTTTCCCTTCGGTTCTCTAGAGATGTGCGTGAAGAACCCCTGACTTCGTAACCCCAGTACAAGAGCCAAAGATGTACCTTTAGGGTACAGCACAGAGGGGCTGCTACCCCCAGCTGCACAGTACGGGGTTTTCAGTGGCCTTGTTTGATGTCTGGGCCTGTCCCTGTGGTTGTTGGGCCTGGGCCACCTCACTTCTGACCTGGGGAGTCTCTGGAATGACCGGATGTGTTACATTTTTGCAGTGAGATCTTGGGCTGTTGTTAGGGACCCTTTGGAGGCTGGCCCTCGCCCGAGGCCCTTCAGAGTTAGGAGGGCACCACCATTTGCTCTTGACACCAGCACTCTTCCCTCTCTCTTTAAAGGAACTCTGCAACCTTCAAGTCATTTGAGGACCGAGTGGGGACCATAAAGGTAATTGAACCAGGACCGTCCAGCCGACGTTCTTAACGGGGTGTGGCCTGTCACTCACAGCAGCTGGTTTGTCCCAGTCATGTAGTCACTGTGGATTCACAGGCAGTTGTAGGAAGTAACACACAGAGGACTTGTGCCTGTCACACGTAGTGCAGTCTCGCCCTCAGGACCTGGAACGCCTCCCCACTGCGCGTCCTGGTACCTTCTGCCTTTCCCCCGGCAACCGCCAGTCCACTCTCCATTTGTATAATGTTGTCATTTCAAGAATATCAGCCGGGCGCGGTGGCTCAAGCCTGTAATCCCAGCACTTTGGGAGGCCGAGGCGGGTGGATCACGAGGTCGAGAGATTGAGACCATCCTGGTCAACATGGTGAAACCCCGTCTCTACTAAAAAATCCAAAAAAATTAGCTGGGCATGGTGGCGCGTGCCTGTAGTCCCAGCTACTCAGGAGGCTGAGGCAGGAGAATCGCTTGAACCCGGGAGGCGGAGGTTGCGGTGAGCCGAGATCGCGCCATTGCACTCCAGCCTGGGTAACAAGAGCGAAACTCCGTCTCAAAAAAAAAAAAAAGAATGTCACACATGGAATGGCACCGTGTAGCGTTTTGGCATCACTGTCATCTTTTTTTTTTTTTTTTTTTTTTTGAGACGGAGTTTCGCTCTTGTTACCCAGGCTGGAGTGCAATGGCGCGATCTCGGCTCACCGCAACCTCCGCCTCCCGGGTTCAAGCGATTCTCCTGCCTCAGCCTCCTGAGTAGCTGGGACTACAGGCACGCGCCACCATGCCCAGCTAATTTTTTTGGATTTTTTAGTAGAGACGGGGTTTCACCATGTTGACCAGGATGGTCTCAATCTCTCGACCTCGTGATCCACCCGCCTCGGCCTCCCAAAGTGCTGGGATTACAGGCTTGAGCCACCGCGCCCGGCCATCACTGTCATCTTTCAGCCTAGTTTCTGGAGGCCTCTCTGGGCTGGTGCCCGCCCGGGATTTGCTCCCCGTCACTGCTGAGCAGTGTTGATGTGACAGAAGCTTTTGTTGAGCATGGGCCTGGGATCTGCCTCCTGTGTGTGCTCTGTCTCAGGTTTTTCTTTCTTGACCTTTTCTCTCCTGTAGTCTAAGGTTGTGGGTGACAGAGAGAATGGCAGTGACAGCCTCCCGTCCTCAGCGGGGAGCGGTGACAAGCCCCTGTCGGATCCCGCACCTTTCTAAGCCTGAGGTTGCTTCGCCCGCCGCAGAGCACACGCAACACACCCTCAGCATCGCAGCCGCAGGCAGGCGGGTGAACAGAGCTGGCTTGGAGGACAGTCCTGCCCGTGCACACACAGACGCGGCTGCTGCGTTCGCATGAATTAGAGAACACGGTCTGTACACAGACGTTTCACACTAAAGTTTGTAGATGAAGCAGATCACTGTGCTGTGTCCTTCCTAGGGGTGCCGGAAGTGGACGGGGAGGAGGCTTCAGAGGAGCGAGCCAAAGCCCTGGCTCCCTTTGGGAATCTTGCTAGCCCATCAGTGTGGAAGGATTGAAGAGTCCTAAGCATAAAATAGGTGGCATTTTCTGACCTCTTCCTTCTCCTCCTTCCCTGACTCTCAGAAGGAATGCAATCACCCAGCAAGTCCTACCTGTTTGCAATTTTAAAATCTCAAAATGCTGAACCAGAAAACTGTTTTCTGAGGCCCCCCCCAGAAAGGAAACTGATCAGCAGCAGCTGCCTAATTGTTCCACTAATCTAGCTTTAACGGAAGCAAATTCATTATTTTTTAAATGCAGTGGACTTTTCAAAAATTAAAACTAGGCAAAGCAGCTTTAGCCTCATAGAGAATATTATTTCTTCGGACTCAAGCTGAAATACAAGCCTTACATTGCCTTATGCTTTATTTCTTTGTAATTTTTGTATGTATGTAGGTGAGGGTTCCTTAACGGCTGTGAGCACAGCGGGGCGTGTTACAGCAGCCTGCGTGGCAGCCTGTTCAGTTGGGTGTTTTATTTCACGCTCACTCCATCCCAGTGTACAAAACCTACCTGTCTTCTCAACCTTGGCCGATCCCACTGGCTGCCCCGCTCTGCCCCAAAGATCTTGAGCTGCTGGGGATGGGAGGGGCCGGGAGAAGGAAAAGCTTGTCTTTAGCACCCCTTAAAGGAGCTGTGCCCCTTTACAGCACTGCCTCTGCATGGGCCTGGCCCGGCTGGCTGGCATTCGTCAGTGACTCCAGCCCGCCCATTTGAAGCACTTCGGATGAAAGGACCCCACAGGTCAGGTGGAGGGTGGGGCGCAGTCATCAGCCAGGATTGCTGTCGCCTCTTCTGAGCCACAAAGATCTCTTGTTTTTAAGTGGTCAGACCCCGACAGCCTCTCTTACACCGGGGCCCCGTGTGTCAGGTGGTGTGGTCTACAGGGGCAGCTCTGTGCCTTACTGGCTCTTGGAAGGACGCTGAGGGTTTGCCTGCCGTGTACACGGCTCTGCCACTCCTGGGGGGAAGGGCTGCTCAGCTCAAGGTGCTCTGCTTACAGAGCCTGTGTCTTCTGACAGCCGTGTCCCCAGACAGTTCAGACACCCTTGGGGACGGCACTCCACACACGATAAAGACGCAGGGGCTGGGGAACCCCGGCACTCGGTGTCCTTTGTCCAGGGTTAAAGTCGGCCTGTGGGATGTGGTGAGAAGGCAGGCTGCACAGGTGTAACTGATGTATCTTTTCCTTAAAGTTGTAATAATGGGTAATTTGTCAATAAAGCATTCCTTAGGGGAAAGTCCACCTTGTGTGATCTGTCGTTCGGGACCATGGCAAGAGTGGTGAAGAAACCAACACGTGGGACCTGCCCTGATGAGTCCACACCCTTGGGAGAGGCAGGCAGGGGACAGTCCAGGAGACAAAGGGCAAGTCCTCAATGCTGGGACAACAAGTGGAGCCAGTTGTGAGGGGAGAGTGGCATATGGCCAACCTGTAGGGCCAGACCCAGCATGGTGGGCACTGAGCCCCGGGAGGGTGAGGAGGAGCTCACCAGACTCCAGGTTGGGCCAGAAGCTCCGGTGGCTTTGCCAGCTGCACCTGCAGGCACTGAGCTGCTGCCAGGCACACCTGTAGTCCTAGCCGTCCTGGAAGCTGAGGCAGATCACCTGGGTCCAGGAGTTCAAGACCAGCCTGGGCAACATAACAGGATTCCATCTCCAGTAAAAACAACAGGCCAGGTGTGGTGGCTAATGTCTGTAAGCTCAGGACTTCGGGAGGTCAAGACGAGAGGATCACTTGAGCCTGGAAGTTTGAGACCAGCCTGGGCAACATAGCCAGACCCCCAACTCTACAAAAAAGTAAAATAATTAGCCAAGAGTGGTGGCGCACGCCTGTAGTCCCAGCTACTCAGGAGGCTGAAGTGGGAGAGTCCCTTGAGTCCAGGAGGTTGAGACTGCAGTAAGCCATGGTCACGCCACTGCACTCCAGTCTGGGTGAGATTGAGACCCTGTCTCAAACAATAGTTGTAGTCTCGGCTGGGTGCGGTGGCTCACGCCTGTCACCCCAGCACTTTGGGAGGCTGAGGCAGGTGGATCACTAGGTCAAGAGATCGAGACCACCCTGGTCAACATGGTGAAACCCCGTCTCTACTAAAAATACAAAACATTAGCTGGGCATGGTGGCGCGTGCCCGTAATCCCAGCTACTCAGGAGGCTGAGGCAGGAGAATTGCCTGAACCCAGGAGGCGGAGGTTGCGGTGAGCCGAGATCGCGCCATTGCACTCCAGCCTGGGTAACAAGAGCGAGACTCTGTCTCAAAAAAAAAAAAAAAAAAAAAAAAAAAATAGTTGTAGTCTAGAGCCCTGTGCCCTGGAAAAGCCACATGCTGCCCGACTCGTCCCAGGTGAAGAGCTAGGCTGCATCAGGCCCAAGTGGCGGGAGCCCACTGGGTGGAAGTGAGTGGAAGGGCGTGGGCAGGAAATGGCTGTCAGGGTCGTGTCGCCCCATGCTCAGTGGCCCTTCAAAGTCATGATCTTGTTCGAGGGAAGAACAGTGGGTTGCCGCAGCCCCTCCAGTGCTGAATCAACAGGGCAAGTTTGGACTACCTGGCTCAGGTCAGAAGACCAGCCAAGATGGCACGCTGAAACGAAGCAGGGCCCTCCCGCAGGGCGGCCCTGACGGTGGTCTCCACCTGCCGCTGTGTGGAAATCTTGCTCCTGCGGGTCAGGCGAGTGCACATGACTCAAGGACGTCCCACAGTGGTGCAAGGGCTGCTTTTTTTTTTTTTTTTTGAGACGGAGTTTTGCCCTTGTTACCCAGGCTGGAGTGCAATGGCGCGATCTCGGCTCACCACAACCTCCGCCTCCTGGGTTCAGGCAATTCTCCTGCCTCAGCCTCCTGAGTAGCTGGGATTACAGGCACGCCCCACCATGCCCAGCTCATTTTTTGGATTTTTAGTAGAAACGGGGTTTCACTATGTTGACCAGGATGGTCTCGATCTCTTGACCTCGTGATCTACCCGCGTCAGCCTCCCAAAGTGCTGGGATGACAGGCTTGAGCCACCGCACCCGGCCTTTTTTTTTTTTTTTGAGATGAAGTCTCACTCTTTCACCAGGCTGGAGTGTAATGGCCATGATCTCGGCTCACTGCAGCCTCTGCCTCCCAGCTTCAAGCGATTCTCCTGCCTCAGCCTCAGGAATAGCTGGGACTACAGGCGTGTGCCACCATGCCCAGCTAATTTTTTTTTTTTTTTTTTTTTTTTTAGTAGAGATGGAGTTTCACCATGTTGGCCAGGATGGTCTCGATCTCTTGACCTTGTGATCTGCCCGCCTCAGCCTCCCAAAGTTCTGGGACTACAGGCGTGAGCCGCCACGCCCAGTGTTAGGTGTTTTAAGGTAACTTACAGGATTCTAAAGTCAACACTGGATACAGAGCAGGCTCAGAAACAGGCTCCGCTCCCCACCCACCCTCTGTCATGACTCTTACTGCTCATCCTCCCAGTGCGTTTTCATGAAAACGGAAGCAATCATGAAGATGTGTTCTCATTCCCTTCCCTTCCTTGGTCAAACAATGGCATGCAGTGTTCTGCACATTGCTCCTCCTCCGTGACAGCACACTCCGGAGTGCTCACTGCATCACCTGTACAGACCCTTGAGGTGGGGCTGGGCGCCGTGGCTCATGCCTTCAATCCCAGCACTTTGGGAGGCTGAGGCAGGCAGATCACCTGAGGTCAGAAGTTTGAGACCAGCCTGGCCAACATGGTGAAACCCCGTTTTTACTAAAAATACAAAAAGCCAGGCATGGTGATGCATTCCTGTAATCCCAGTTACTTGAGAGGCTGAGGCAGGAGAATCACTTGAACCCAGGAGGCAGAGGTGAGATCATGCCACTGCACTCCAGCCTGGGTAAAGGAGCAAGACTCATCTCAAAAAGAAAGAAAAAAAAAAAAAAAGGCTGGGCATAGTGGCTCGCACCTGTAATCCCAGCACTTTGGGAGGCCAAGGCAGGTGGATCAGGAGGTCAGGGGATTGAGACCAACCTGGCCAACATGGTGAAACCCCATCTCTACTAAAATACAGAAAATTAGTTGGGTGTGTGCCTGTCGTTCCGGCTACTCAGGAGGTTGAGGCAGGGGAATTCGCTTGAACCCAGAAGGTGGAGATTTCAGTGAGCTGAGATCACACCACTGCACTCCAGCCTGGTGACAGACCAAGAAGCTTGAGGGGAACTTCCTCCGCCTCCTGGGTTCCAGCAATTCTCCTGCCTCAGCCTCCTGAGTAGCTGGGATTACAGGCACGTGCCACCATGCCCAGCTAATTTTTTTGTATTTTTAGTAGAGACGGGGTTTCACCATGTTGACCAGGATGGTCTTGATCTCTTGACCTCGTGATCCACCTGCCTCGGCCTCCCAAAGTGCTGGGATTACAGGCGTGAGCCACCCCGCCCGGCCTCTTCTTTTTTTTTTTTTTTAATCTAATTTAATTTTTTAATTTCAACATTTTTAGAGATGGGGTTTCACCATATTGGCCAGGCTGGTCTCGAACTTCTGACCTCAGGTGATCCACCCACCTTGGCCTCCCAACGTGCTGGGATTACAGGCGTGAGCCACCGCGCCTGGCCTATTTTATTTCTTATTTTTATTGTTTTGAGATGGAGTCTCTGTAGCCCAGGCTGGAGTGCAGTGGTGCGATCTTGGCTCACTGCAACCTCCACCTCCCTGGTCCCGGTTCAAGCAATTCTCCTACCTCAGCCTCCCAAGTAGCTGGGATTAAAGGCAGGAGCCACCATGCACAGCTAATTTTTGTATTTTTTAGTAGAGTTGGAGGTTTCACCATGCTGGCCAGTCTGGTCTTGAACTCCTGACCTCATGATCTGCCCACCTCGGCCTCCCAAAGTGCTGGGATTACAGATGTGAGCCACCGTGCCTGGCCCTATTTTATTTATTTATTTTTTTAGAGGTTTCACCATGTGGGCCAGGCTGGTTTCGAACTCCTGACCTCAAGTGATCCGCCTGCCTCAGCCTCCCAAAGTGCTAGGATTACAGGCGTGAGCCACTGTGCGCGGCTTTTCTTCTTTTTAAATAAGAGATGCAGTCTTGCTCTGTCACCTAGGCAGGAATGCAGTGGGACAATACTAGCTCATTGCAGCCTTGACCTTCCACCTGATCCAGCCTCCTGAGTAGCTGAGACTACAGGGGCATGCCTGCCACCAAGGCCTGACTAATCAAAAAAATTTTTTGGCCAGGCATGGTAACTCACATCTGTAATCCCAGCACTCTGGGAGGCAGAGGTGGGTGGATCACCTGAGGTCAGGAGTTCAAGACCAGCCTGACCAACATGGTGAAACCCCATCTCTACTAAAAATACAAAACTTAGCCGGGCATGGTGGCACACGCCTGTAATCCCAGCTACTTGGGAGGCTGAGGCAGGAGAATTCCTTGAACCTGGGAGCCAGAGGTTGCAGTGAGCTGAGATTGCACCATTGCACTCCAGCCTGGGCAACAGAGCGAGACTCAGTCTCAAAAAAAAAAAAAAAAAAATTTTTTTTTTTTTTTTTTTTTTTTTTTTTTTAAGAGATGGGGGTCTTACTCTGTTGCCCAGGCAAGTCTCAACTCCTGGGCTCCAGTGATCGTCCTGCCTTGGCCTACGAAAGTGCTGAGATTTCAGGCATCAGCCATGTTGCCCCACTGTATACATTTCAGTAACTCTGACATTCCCTTTAAAGGAGTGCAGGTTTTCATTCTGTTATGAACTGTGCCATTGTGAATATTTCGGTGCATATGCTTCTTTCCGTATTCGGGAATATTTTCTTGGGAAGAATGTCCCTAAAGTGAAGCTACCAGGTCTCAGAGGGACTCACCTAAGGCCTGGGCCATTCATTCCTGCAGCTCAGCACAAGCTGAATACAGCTTCAGTCTCAAACCGGTACCAGGTCCACTTTGTCCTCTCATTCCTCCAGTTCTGGCCTGATGTCTTTCGTTCTCTTGAATCAATAGTTGCAGGTATGAACCTCGCCTTTCTGCTTCTTGGGTTCCATAGGGCTTTTCTTGCTGGCTGCTTGATGTTGCACAGTTTAAGGACTGCTAGGAGGCTCTTGAGCTCTCTGACACTTCCAGGCTCTGAGAGTAGAAGAAGCTTGGCAGTTCAAGACTGGCATTATGACAGTTAGGCGGGCCGCGGAAGAAGGAGGCCAGAGCGTGTTGGGAAAGAATCTGGGTTCCTCTCAGCGTGTCACGGGAAGCCTTGGATGCCATCGGGTTTGTTTTAAAAAGATGACTGCAGTGAATGGACGCAGGCAAACGGGC